TCTAGTCTATTGTCCTACGGGCATTGTATTTATTAAATCTGTGGATGCTTCAAATGTGGAATCACATGCAGAGACACTGTGTAACTTGTTTGCTGAAATTGTTGAAATTGTTGGGGTTGACAATGTTGTTCATTTAGTTACTGATAATGCTAGTAACTACAAGGTTGCTGGAAAATTGCTTTCAGATAAGTATTCTTCTATTAGTTGGTCTCCCTGTACAGTACATTGTCTCAATTTAGTCCTCAAGGATATTGGAGAATTGCCAAATATTAGCAATACAATTATTCTTGCATCTAGGGTCACTAAATATGTGTACAATCGCAAGTGGATACTTGGTTGGTTAAGGGAAAGACCGGGTTGGAAAGAGATTCTTCGTCCTGCCGAAACTAGATTTGGAACCATATTTATAGCACTCAAAAGCCTCTATGATCACAGAGAACATTTGGAGGCTTTAGTAATCAATCCAAAATTCAAGAAAAAAAAAAAAAAGAAAGCCTCAGATGTGAAAGAAATTGTTCTCAATGATAATTTTTGGAAATCTTGTTTGATCAATGTGAAGATCATGGGGCCTGTGATGCGATTATTGCGTATTTGTGATTATGATAAAAAGCCTTCATTGGGGTATGTTTATGATGGCATCTAGAGGATAGTTAATGGTATCAAAGCAATGTTTAACAACAATGAAAAGTTGTATAAACCTTATATTGATATCATTGAGGACAGGTGGGATGCCAGGTTAAAGAAGGATCTTCATGTAGCAAGTTTTTGGTTAAATCCAGCATTTCAGTATGAGAATAATACCCGGTGTAATTCACCCGAAATTTGGAAAAGCTTGTTTGTAGTCTTGGAGAAGGTTAAGATTGAAGGAAATTCGCTTTGATGGATGAAAGTTCAGTCTTTGCCTCAAAGAGTAAATCATTTTGGGACTGATTTTGCTCAAAGAACATACAATTCTTCTCGTCCGGGTAATTTTAAACTATGTTTTCTTCATGTTTTTTTTTTTTTGAAATGTGGTTTATATTATATCATATTTACTGCCTAATATATTTTATATTTTTTTGTCATGATAATGGGCATAGATTCATGGTGGAAAATGTTTGGTGTTGACACTCCAAACCTTCAGAAGATGACTATTAGACTTTTGAGTCAAACTACATCTTCTCCGGGATGTGAATGCAATTGGAGTGTGTTTGATCGCATCCATACAAAGAAAAGGAACAGATTGGAGCATAAAAGATTGTGTAATGTTCTATATGTTCAGTACAACCTCCGCTTGAAAAATAGGTAGGCACTTAATCTTTTTTTTTTCCTTTGTTTTTTTTTTTTGTTTTTTGTTTTTTGTAAACTTTTTCCTGATATGACTAATGAAAGAGTCAATTTTTGTTCAGGCTTGAGTATAGGAAAAGATCTTATGATCCTGTTGATTATGAGTCCATTGATAGAACCGAATTTTGGATCGTTGAGGACGAGCCTAAAGGAGAGCTTGACATAGAAGAGTTGAGGATATGATGGAAGATACGAACCCTATTGATGATGGAGTATCATTCCAACCAAATGAGAAATTGATATTTATTGAAGTATTTTGAGATAGTTTTCTTTTAATGCTTTCAATTGATCAATATAATTTTTGTTTGTGTTGTAATTAGGAAAAAGAAGATCAGTGGTTAATGTTGAAGATGATGAAGATAATTCTCAAAATGACTCGTCTTTCTTGCAAGTTGGAGATGATGATATGGAAGCTTTTGACTAAACTATGTCAAAATTGGACTCTAATGCTTTTGTCTTTTGTATATGGTAGGCCGATTAGATGCTATTCTTTTGCATATAAGTAAATTAGGTGTTATTCCTTTTGGATATAAATGTATAGCATTATGAATTCTCTCGGCCCTTTTGGATTCAACTTAGATAATTTAGGATGCTTTAGTTCTAGGCTTTTGGAAGGTGTTGATATATAGGTGAAGTGTTTGTTCTTTAGAACAAGTACTAATTTAGCACTAGGTTTGTAGTAGTATATGTTGTAATTAAGTAGGTGTTTCATGTAAGGATGATATGGAATGTGTCGTGAGAGTCAAACTCACTTGGTGATTTTATACTTTTATGATCTTAAGAAATGTAAATGTTCTATTTCACGTTCATAATATTGCAGGTACTATAGATTAGTGTATGTATTTGTTCAATAGCTCTTTGTTGTGAAAGTTATATTCTTCAGCCTTTCCAATAAATCAACGTGTGTAGTTGTCCAGTTGTGCATTTGGTTGAATTGGAATCATTTTGAAAAAAGTTTAAGCATTTGAAGTTTGGATGATAATGCATTTGTTTATGTTTAATCTTTCTTTTTTTTTTTTTTTTGAAAAGGTGTTTAATCTTTTAACTTTTGAAAAGAACAACAGAATTAGGATTTTTTTGGTTACAACTAATATATTTATTATTTTTTGTTATGATTTAAAATTATTTATTACGTATTTATGATGTTACCGATTTTTTAGAGCAATTGAACCGGTTCAAATCAGTGAACCAGTTACTTCACCAATTCGCTTTCTGATCTGATTTTCAAAACATAGGTATTAAGGCAATATAGGTGAAGTTTAGCCTGGGTCGAAAATTGGAACCAAAACCAAAGACCATATTGGAACTATAAGGTGTTTATTTTTTTATAATTTCTTAATCATAAATAGTTGAAAACAAACTCTATTCATTTAAAAAAAAAATGTTAAATTGGTACTTCAGGAATTTATAACCCCAATCATGTAATTCTTCCATTACATTTATTTGGTTATTTATTCACTCACCACATAATAATACGCAGTATAAAAATTAAAATAAAAGATTTTCTGTGACAAGTGTGGCAGACAAATTAAATTTATTAGCTAGTCAATTAACAACTACCAATTAATGAACGAGCACTCAAATTTGTCTCAAAATCCAAATCGGACAATAATATTAGAAAAGTAAAAATTTAAATAGGACAATAATTTTTGGGACAGAGAAGGTGCAACACAAATTCAGCTATCTGATCTGAGAATTGGTACAATAAATCACACAGTCGAATAGGATGGCAATATCAGTAATGGAAGCACCACAAATGCAATAAAAGCGGAAAACCCGATAATGGCGGAATTGGCCGCAATTTGGAACCAGCAAAGCAGCAACATCTGAGCCAAGGCGAAACGTTCAACCCAGAAAGCTTTGTCCCAGAACTCATCCCAAGGAGTACGAAACGCCGGGACGTACTTATACAGATCATTCTTGCCGGCGGCGAAATAGCACCAATTTAGGAGGCCAAACAGGGCGGTGAACAACAAAGCTTCGAGATATGAATATCGGATCTTGGATGGGATGGAAAAACCCCAGAAGATGAGGAAGGCAAATACGCAGGATCGCTCGATCAGTGATACTCGGAGCTGAAATGATCTGGAATCCATCTTTTTTTTTTATCGCCAATGTGATGAGATCTGAGTCGCTAAGCACCAACCCAAAAAAATTAATCATCTTTCAATTTTTGGAATTCCTTATAGTTTTAGTGCAAATCAGACTTTTTCTTTTTTTCTTTTTTTTTTGTTGTTTGGACAGAGAAACTAATACTAATTTGAGTGTTAATCTATGTTTTATATTTTAAACTTGATGGAGTACTGTAAATAATTACTCTCCGTCCCGAAATATAATCTACTTTGAAAAAATAAAATTTATAAATTAAATGAGTTAATCCTTTAAAAAATGAAATGTTGAATAGAACATCCCGTTAACATATCAATTTTATTTTTTATTTAAAAGATTATTTTGAGATTTTAATTTGTAAAATCAGTTAAATTAATCAAGACCATTAGGACCTCTACATTTTATTAGTTTATATAGATTTATTATGAGTCAAAAATTAAAAATTAAAAATTTCCTAATTTAGAAATTTTTTCATGCAAATGAAACTTCTAATTTATAAGAACGTAGAGATAAGTGGAATTTGGATTTTTTTATTTTTGTATCACTTTAGATGTAAATTTCAAGAAATTTTTTTTATCTTTATGTTTATATTTTAATAAATTTTTCATGTTATTTTTATTTTAATTCTTTTGGCGGGACAATATTTGTATAGGAAATCTTTGAAATTTTACTATTTTATTATTTTATCAACTATTTTGATTTTTTTGTACTTGGCACAAGAAAACTGACTAATTGATAAATGTCATTAATTTATAAGTTATTTGTTTCTAGATGTTCTAATCTGTTAATAAACTTCCATTTTTTGTTTTTTTTTCATAAACTGTCTGTTAAAAAATATAAGATATCCATCAAATTAAAATTTAGTCCAATTAAGAAATGATAAACTTATAAGTGCACTATAAATGAAATTTTAAATACATTATATGTCTTATAAATAGAATTAAAAAAAATATTGAAAAAAAAACATTATAATACAAACCAAAAGACAAGTATCTTAATGTTGAATTATTGGAGGAACTACTTGTAACTTTACTTAACTTTATGGAAAGTGAGAAACGATATGGATTAAATCACTTTCATTCATTCCTACATTTTTCATTTAGAGTTTATTGATTTAGGATTAAAGGAATAGTTTAAATTTTAGACACATCGTTCCCATTATTTCTTTTATAAACTTTTCCATACATGTCATTACTCTTTTTTCATCTGTCAAAGATATAGAATTGAAAGTTCAAGGGCGTGTGCGCGTGTCTAGTCCTTGGCAACATCAATCATTCCCAAAGATTCAGTTTTATAACTAATTTGGTCCAAACCTCCAATTTGACCGATCTCGGTGAAAATAAATTCACAGTTACAAAACATCGTGTTTTTATACTAAATGCAAAGGATAATAATTCATATATATTTCAAAAAAAATGAAAAACTGAATTAAAAAATTATTAAATTTTTATTGGCCTTTAATTAGTAAATTATTAATCTTATAGTTAATTTGGTCCAAAATTACAATTCGGTAAATACTAAACCATGAGGATTACGAAACTATCATATGTAACACTCAGACAAGCCAATTTTATGAAACGAATTTATCAGTCTATCTGTAATCATTCTAAAGATCGAGCTAACCAACATTGAGATTGTAATGATGATCGTTTCTCCACGAAGGAATTCACATTTGATACCCTAAGGAGCACGAGTATAACTAAATTCGTTTGCCTCGAGAGAAAATACTGCAAAGTATGCATTTTGATTTTCGACCACTGAATTGGTTCGGCCTACAGTTCTATTCTATCAATATCTATCTAACATTTCAAGTATTAAGATTTATATCCTTCGAATTGGAGAGGAAAAATGTGAAACATAATTTCAAACCAAAAATGTATTTCACTCAATAATTGTTAATCCCATATGTGTTTAGGTTAGTAATCACCTAATCTTCCCATCTCCAATAGATATAACTCTGCAAACACCAGCTGAGGTGGTGAAAGGGATGCCATTATAGCATGCCACCAATTCACTGTTTGTGTGCAAAGCTGGCTGGACCGTTTCCCATATCTTCTTCTTAGGGTTCAAGACATCATCTGGAGTGCCTTCAAATCCCTGAAACTTGACTCTTTCACCAGGAACAGCACCTTCCGGAGGTTCAACTAACTCCACCTGTCATTATTAATAATAATCGGTCAACTGCGGGCCATTTTTTATTCGAAAACTTGCACCTACTCATCTGAGAGCTAATCCTACAATTACTAACTTTGATCATTCAGAAACAACAATCAGGATGAGAAAAGTAGAACAAACAAAAGCCCAATTTCATAACTTCTTGTTTTATCATCCTCTGTTCTCAGTGGCAAGGGGAAAGCAAAGAGAATTGCAATGATGTCAAGAGAGCACAAAGAACCATTGCTTGAGAGAGCTCTAAAAGGTAATAATGTTACAACATAAAACTCACCTCGGTGTCTTCACTATTAGAGGCACAAAGAACCATTGCTTGAGATTTAATGCCTCTCATACTTGCTGGCTTCAAGTTGCAAAGTACACAAACCCTCCGATTCTGACACATAATTATCAGGAATCATAAGCAAACCACTAAAACTAATAAGAAAAACATTGAGTACTAATTTGGAACAATGAAAGAAAGGTACAAACCTGCATTTCTTCTAGAGGAATGTATTTCACGAGGCCACTGACAACGGTTCTTGGCTGAGCTTCACCCACATCAATCTCCTCCACATACAAGGAATCCGCATCGGGATGCTTTTGAACTTTAGTGATGAGACCAACACGGATATCAAGTCTGCTAACTGTAATTTCGGATTCAGTGGATGAAGAGGCTTTTGATGCACCTTGAGCAGATTTTTTCGACTTGCCCTTCTTTGCATTCCCATCTGAAGGGGGTAGTTAAACAATTCAACAGACAATTTGGTTATGTTCATAGTCGACACCATATCATCACAGAGACTTGCAAACAGTCTTCATCAAACATTCTCCCAATTAAGGGGCTTCTTTGTACTGATAATATTCCGATACTTGTAGTTTACATATTATGAAGCAAAGTAGCTAGAATCATTATTGAAGAAACCAATAATTTTTCCCACTCTCACTTCTTAAAGAATTTAAAGGCTGAATACCAAAAAACAAAAGAAGATACCAATGAGCACCTTGAGAGTAAGATCATTTGTTCTTGTTAGTGAGTTAAACTTATCACATTACACAGATTTCATATGCCTTAAAAAGGAAAATTTAGAGGAGGTTCATTAAAAGAAACAGAAAAAAGATAGTTAAGGTTGAACGCCAATGAGAACCTAGAAAATAGGGGCATATGATCCTGTGTGTAAGTTAAACTTATCACATTATAAAGGTTTCATGGGCCATGAATTCAACCAGAATATCAATTTCCTCGAATAAAATAGTAAACATCTACTTGTGGGATCTCAATGAAAGAAAAGAAGTAAAATCAAAGAGAGAATCAAACAATTAATACATTCACCATTGATAAAACTGAATACAGCAGAGAACCATAAAATTTAAAATATGCAACATTGCAGAACTTATCGAGAAGGAAAATACTGACATTCCTATTATTTTCATGCTCATAAAACTTCTCCCCAAACATCAGATGGTCCATTCAAACTTAAAACGCAAATGTGGACATGAATGCGCCTATTAACAGAATACAATATGCAATTTTTTCAAAAGGGTTCCTGCAGAAGCTTTGACAGGGGAGACTGGACTTTATCAGGGGAAACATACATGTGTTTTTTAACTTTGTACTTTTTGAGTCCGAGTTTCTCACATGTATTTTTATGCTAAAAAAATTGAAATACCATATCTAGTTACTACTAAGTAGTGATACATTAAGAAAAACATTAACATTTAGAATATCAACTTTTATACATTTTCCATAGCCATCAAACTTGTGGCAGTACAGTTGTTAACAAACAAACATACTTCATGACCTCTTATCGTTTTCATAATTCATAATATGCTTAATTGCAACCATGTTATGGTTGTTGTCACCTCTATCCATCCCCCAACTCTTTTTTATGCATCGGTTCATTCATCATGCAGGCTCGCAGCTAGTGGCTTATAGGTTTTCTGAAGTTGAACTAATCAACTTGAGACTGAAGTATTGTACTAAACGACAACCAACTTTTGTTTTACCACAAAAAAAATTATTGCTTTTGAAGTGAATGTGCTGAATCAAAGGACTTCTCCTTGGCAGCTCTCAATTCTTTGTAAACCAGCAATGAAGTAGAATTTTGTTTTAAAACTTGTTCATTCAGGGAATATGTAAATGATAGGGCTTTCGCCACAATGAAACCACAAAAGTCAAAGTGCACAAATATATCAACAGAAACATAGTTTGGCCGAGTAGAAACTGCACAAAGTGAAGTTGACTTGTGCAGTTGACTAGAGTAAATGGACAAGTATAATTTACTTACAGACTAAAACTTTTACTGGCTACCACTAACCTGCTGCAAGATTTGTTTCACTTAATTGTTTACTGAGTTTGGCTTCAGCTTCGGCCTTTAGTTTCCGATCAGCTTGGCTTCCAGCAAATCTATCCCTAAGGCATAACATTTCATCGTCTTTCTGCATGATCCCAAACCAAATAACGCATCAGATCTATGAAAGATACAAGTATTACAAATAGCCCCTGGAACCACCGACGAAAAATAGTAACATTTACCAGCTCCTTGAACAGTGGTACAGGAGTACCAATTCTGTGACCGCCAGGCAGAAACTCCCAAAGTTTCCTGGCCCTTTCAATATCACTCTCAGAAAGTGAAAGTGATTTTTCAAGGGGCAAGTTGAGCTGCTTTCGCACCTATATATAAAACAAAAGCAGGACATAAGAACTCAAGAGGAAATACAGGAATCACATTCTACTTAGAAATCTAGGCCAAGTCACAAGCAGCCAAATTACCTCATTAGAGAACGACGGCATGAAGGGCTCCAAGAGAGAGGCAAGCAGATATACTAGTCCAGCAGAAGTTCTCATGACTATTGAACATGTAGCTCGATCTTCATTATAAAGTCTCCAAAACTCGCTCTCCTAATAAGAAGAAACACCAAGCAATAGTTACTTTTATGCTTTCAAACAGCTCCATATTTTGACCATCAACAATCACACAATCCGAAAAGAACCTCGTTGATACGTAAGCTAATAAGGAATTGGAAAATTAAATCTAAACAGAGCCTGTTGTAGGATTTTATGCAGAAAGCCATATCTATTAAGTCTCAGGAGACCAATAACATGAAGAGACTTACTTGCAAATATCCATTGCCCAATGTCGAAATGGACATAGCTATCTTTAAACCTTGCTTCAATTTGACCTATCCATTGAGAGAAACTTTTATAATAGTGAACAAACTTTAATCAAAAAAAAAGAAAAAGAAAAAAAAAAGATATATAGAGGGTAGTATGGCATCAGATACCTTCTCCATAGCCAATTTATACTCATCCACAAGATTACCAACTTTTCCTCCCAAAGCTTGAGTTAAGTGATGTAATTCAGCATTCTCGGCATCAGGAATTATGGAACCATATCCTGATTATGTACCAAGTTAGATAACATAAGCAAAATACAGAATGGGATCTCAAGTTTTAGACAAATATACTAGCATCTATACAGGCCAATAGGTTGTTTAGTAATGGTTCTAAACAAATCCAGTAGCATATATACCAAGGTTGATTAGAAGTGGATAGTTTCCACAAAAGATGACGTGGTTCCCTAACATGGTTATAGGGTAAGCCTGTGTCAACAGAACAAGAATAAAGCACACAACTGTGCTGTCCATACAAAGATAAAGCTTATGAATGCATATCATACTTTGATATCCCATCTTCCGAATGTTGATTGCTATTAAACATAGTGCTTGAAACAAAACATAACAGCAACCTACCTGGATCTTTTGCAATAAAACTCAGAACCCGATTGATAAAATTTCCTAGGTTCTTCAGCAGTTCATTGTTTAATTTGGCTTGCAAGTCTTCCCAGGTAAATACTGCATCTGATACCTATGCATCACAAAGGCCATTGGCATGTGTGCCAATGTACATGGAATTGAATTTCCCGAGTTAAAGGGGATCAAATGCAAATCAGTAAAGAAAAAGCTCAACCTTTAAGTACATAGACATACCTCTGGCCTATTCGTAAGTAAGTAATATCTCCACACCTCGACTGGGATGTTAGTATCTTTTGCATCAGTCCCAAAAACCCCTACACCCTTACTTTTTGAAAATTTTCCTGAATATAGAGTTTAGGAGTTCAGAGAAAGCAAGCTGATGAAAGAGCATGTAACCAACAGAATAATTACATCACCAGGATCCAATAATATGTTACATTTCAAAAAACAGGTTAAGTATTTCACTCACCGGATTCGTAATTAAGGTATTCGGTAACACTGATAGCTTTCATCAAAGTCCAGTCTTCACCTGTTCCTAGAAGCGTGGATGGAAACATGACCTGCAAGATTAAAATAGCATCACAGCGGAAACATAATTAGAGACAAAAGTATACCGAAATCCAACAAAAGAATCCTTCCATAGGACTGAAGCCTCTAAGATAAGGAAAATACATATGCAAAGTGAATCAAAGTATGCCAATAATATTTGACCACAGAGCCAATAAAAACCATGCACACTACCTTAAAACAACCCGCAATGGTCAAACATAGGAAACAAAAGATGCTTAATTTTCCATTCAACTCCAGTCTAGATCGGAAAGTCATATTTAAGATTAGGTAAAAGGATGATAGGAATATATAGTATCCAACAAAAGTAAAGTTCCTCTTAACATCTGAGAGATCAAAATATCACCCCCACCCACCCAAATTTTGAGCATTACATAGCTCAAATATGAAAATAGTAAAGATGACTGAAAGAGACAGATTGACATATATAGTTTATGTTCATGCCAACTAAAAATTCACTGATAATGCCTCAGTTTTCAAACATCAAAAGATGGACAAAAATAACACATACTGTGTGAAAAGGCACATTATCCTTGCCCATAAACTGAAATAGCTCTACATCCTTAGGATTCTTCCACCACTTCTCCCACTCGGGTGTGTAGCATGCTGTGATTGACACGTACCCGATAGGTGCATCAAACCAAACATAAAAAACCTAAACCACAGGAAAGTGGAAAGCATTAACAAAAGAGATGGTCCAAAAACCAGTGCTGGCAGGAACAGACTCCCTACTTTTGATGCATCAACACCAAAGGTAAAAAAGAATTCATTTTCCTCAGCACACCTTATCCTTATATTGCTCAAGCGGTACAGGAACCCCCCACTTCAGGTCCCTCGTGATGCACCTTTTTCTTAGTCCTTCTTTAAGCCATGCATATGTTGCTTGAATAGCATTTTGACTCCAATCTCCCTCCATCTCAGTAATGTAGGCTTTCAACCTCTCCTCCAGCAAAGGAAGCTCCAAAAACAAATGCCTTGTATCTCGAATATGTGGAGAGGATTGACAAACCTATTCACACACCAGATAATTAGGTTTAAGCTTTTAACATCATTTCATAGAATATGTTAAATGTGAGGAAAATAATATGCCCTCAGTATCCTCCAAGTATTCTTTATTTTTCTTCCGTTAATGTCATAGCGGTTGTTGCACTGCTCAAGTCTAGAAAATATAATCTTTCCACTAACATCCTTCAAATTATAATTGTTGCATCATTGTAACAGTGAGATAATGGCAATCGGGAAGATAATCACCTTGCATCTTGGTTCAAGTAGTTCAGTGGGATTTAAAAGCTTTTGGCATTTATCACACTGATCGCCGCGTGCGGAATCATAGTTACAAGCCGGATTAGGACAGATGCCCTCCACATACCTATCGGCTAAAAACCTCTGGCATGTCTCACAGTAAAGCTGCACCACCAACATGACCACAGTTAATGTAGCTTGATACCATAAATTTGGTGGAAAAAGAATCAAAGGAAATTATCAACAACTTAGCCTATCATCCAAATAATACTTTGATACCTGTTGAATGGTATCCTCTGAAAGCCAATTGTTTTCCCAAAGTCTCTTGAAAATTGTCTGACACACTTCTGTCTGCTGTGGTGTTGAAGTGCGGCCAAATTTGTCAAAACTTATATCAAACCATTCATAAATTTCTTTATGAATTGCATGGTATCTACAGGTTATAAAGAACATATGAGCATACTACATTTGTGCTTCTAGCAAAAGGCAGAGACTTAATGGGAACAAATCTGGAAAGTATAAGTATTTTAAAACTTTATGCGAAAAAACAAACAAAGAAATGATGCAAAAATTACTCGACTTTCAAGTAATATTGATCAGAGTGAAAAAATTCATTTACAAACTTCACAGCAACTTCAGATGAACCCTGCCAAGGGATAGGAGAAGTGCCTCACAGAAAATAAATAGGTCTCCAACGAAAACGGCACAGGCAGAATCTGAAATTGTAAGCATAATTTACTACCTTACACACCAGCACAAATATCCTACTTTATTTTGTTTGTCAAATAAATCAGCATATAATTGTATGAGCGTGGAACAACACAGTGGCAGCACTATCTGCAAAAGTTTACATCCATTTTAATATACTCAAAGCTTTATGTGGTTTAAGAGAAGTGCATTCTTTTGTGCTCCCTCATAACAGTCATGAGAATAGATAATAAAAAACGAGCAGAGAAGGAATTAGAGAAAGTTTATACTACCACACATAAGGACCGAGGCAATCCAATACTCCCTCCATTCTACAATATATGCCATTCTAGGGTAATTTTATAAAATATATGTCGTTTTAAAAAAATCGAGACATCAGTTGTGCCTCATTTTACAGTGAGTATTCATAGATTGGCCACAACTTCTATACTATTTTTCCAATATTACCGATAATTGGAAGTGAAATAGTGTTTACAATGAAATTGTATTGGTTGTTGATGAGCTGTATGGATAATAAATAGGGATAATTTGTACTTCAAACACATTATTTAATGTTTCATTGGCAATGATGAAGTTGCTAGAAAGACATCGAGTTTGAAATGGAGGGAGTATTACATAGAAGCAGAATCTGAAACCAAGGATCCCATTTCCTACAATCCTTTCACACAAGATTTCCAATGTTCAATATCTTACACTTATCACATCCATGACATTAACTCGAGGGTATATCAGAATAATATCATAATGAATCCAACAAAAATAACCTTTTTCACTTAAATCAGAACCAGTTTTTGACAGCATCCATATTCTGAAACTGTAACTAATTCTAAATCATTTCCATTACTACCAAAACGAGAACCAAAGTCTCAATTTTCTATGATAAAGCATGCACAAGAAGCATTTTTTGACAGCATCCATATTCTGAAACTGTAACTAATTCTAAATCATTTCCATTACTACCCAAACGAGAACCAAAGTCTCAATTTTCTATGATAAAGCATGCACAAGAAGCATTTTTTGACAGCATCCATATTCTGAAACTGTAACTAATTCTAAATCATTTCCATTACTACCCAAACGAGAACCAAAGTCTCAATTTTCTATGATAAAGCATGCACAAGAAGCTTCTGCAAGTGCAAGGTCCATTAAACGGTCATGAAGGCCAAGCAGGTTAGCCCTACATTGAATTTCTCAAGACATTTTCAAGGTCCAGGATTGGGAAGGGACTGCCATGAAGTTGTGGGGTAGACGTTCAACCTAATAATTTTTACAAGAGGCTGCTCCGCAACTGAAACCTGTGACGCTAGGTCACATGGCAAGAGCTCCAGTTTTAGTTAAAGTGAAAGAACTTTAAGCTTCTATTTTTACAAGCAAACAAAAGGCCCTCTGTTACAATTATGTCATCCCAATTCAATTTTCCAGCTGAGATTTGAAGTTGATCATGTCAAAACACACCATACAACAACATGATTTACTATTCAGATAGACATTTCTGAAGGTAATTTGAACTTAAATTCTAAACTCATTAGCCACAAAAAGAAAAGGATAAAAAAAAGAAACGGTTATTACTTGTCACATATTTCCTTCGGGGTAACATTCTCCTCCATAGCCTTGGTTTCTGTTGCTGTTCCATACTCATCAGTGCCACAAATATATATAGTATTGTAACCTCTAAGTCTACAGTATCTGGCAAATACATCTGCACTCAGGACACCTACGCAAACAAAACAAACAAAAAACTAAACATACTTAGCCTGCAATAAAATAAAATCACAGGGGAAATAAAGGAAGAAAACAACCAACATATACATCAAGAATCAGTCAATGTCTCGTTCACCAGAAATAATTATCCCTTAAATTAGCTCTATAAAGAACCAAAATTAGATAAAAATTTCCACCAAAGTAAGCTTAACATAAAACGAATTTTTTAAATTAATGGGGGAAAAAAAACTTACAGCCAATAATATTTCCAAGGTGAGGCACGTTGTTAACGTAAGGAAGTGCACTGGTGATCAGAACATTCCGTTGCCCAGGGATAGGCAGCTTGGGAGCCGAAGCGTTCGGTTCTTGAGACCCCATCGGAACTTCCGTCGTAACCGAACAGAAACCACGAAAGAAACGGCGGCGTTCAGCCGAATTAGACAAGGACTGGATGATGAATTGGAGCGGAGCAACCAGCTGAGTGAGTGTGTGCGGGCGGTGGCGGCTGAGGTAGCGGCGGCGTTGGGGGAGGAGAAGTTTTGAAGCTATGGTGAAAGACGATGATGCTTTTACTCTCTTTTTTTTTTTTCCTTGTTTAGTTTGTTTCTATAATGCGACGCATGTAGAAAGAGGGGATTAATGGGAAAGGAAAATTTTAGGGTTTTATTTATTTAGGAGAAAGTAATAAAAAGGGCTTAGTCACAATTTCACAACAAATTGCTCTGATTCGATGCCTCTCTTTCAGATTAGACTTCGTTTGGATCTTTGTTTGGTTTGATTTAGAAAAATTACTATATATTTTCTTGTCAAAACTATTATTTCAAAAGGAAAATCATCATGTATTGGACTACTATATATTATGGATTAATATTTCTTTTATTCATGTAAATTGTACATGTGTTGTTGAAAATGCTCATTTTGAAACTCTCAAAATAAGTATAATAGATGACATTAAAGAGTATTAGCCAGGCTATATATGTTTGGTAAATATTTAATTTGAAGTCTGAATTTTAAATATTGAACATATTACATTGTTATCTTGTTTTTCATACAATCAAAATCTAAAGCATGGAAAAAGAAAAATACATTTGAAGTCTAAATCCCCAAATACCGAATTGAGTAAGGCCTTGACTTCTAATTTTCTCTATTAAAATAAATTGTTGGATATATAAAATCATCAAAAGAGATAATAATATTATTATAAATTTATTTATAAGAATATTAATTTTTATTTATGTGATTATTATAATTAATAATAATATAATGTTCAATTCTTATGTAAAAAATACTTAAGATATACTAATGTCAAATTCTTACCGTAAAAATATATTAAATACTTCAATTGTACTCCCAAAAATGATTCACAATGAGTTTTGGGATTTGTACGAGGTTTAGTTCAAGTTTGAAAAGCCAATGTGAATCTTTTGTGACAAAATTAGTTAATCAATTGAATTATCAAATTTATAGTTATCAAAGACTTTAATAAGTTATGTTTTTAATCAATTCAGCGAATGGATTGCTAAATGTAATTTGATTTTACTTTGTGTAGCTTGTAAAATAAACTATAATACCCCTGAATCCTAAATCCTACCAAATTCTTTTATATGATCATCTCTTTTACAACTTCACACATATTATTTCAATTGATTGTTGATGGTTTCTAACGATAGAGAATCAAAAAACACGCAAGAGAAGAGAAAATGAGGTAATTTTGGGCGAATTTAACTTTTTGGTGTGATAATTTTTTTTCGTTTTGATGTGATTGTGCGGCTGCAACTTTGGTGTTTTCGGCATTCTGGAGGAATTTTTTTGGTTTTAATTTTTTTTTTTTTGCGAAATTATCTGGGATAATTTTTCTACTTTTGATACGGTGGTCATTTTTTTTTTGAGGGTGAAATGGGTGATGCCATTGTTTTTTTTTTCCCTATTTTTTCGTGTGATCAGATTTTTGTCCATTAACATTCTCATGAATTGGACAGTTTCATGGAAGGTAGAAAATTTATTAGTCATGATCAAATTAAATTTGGGTCGTGTAGCTTGATTTTACTTCAAGCAGTTTGATTTTATTTCGTGTAGTTTGATTTTATTTCACACAGCTTCATAAAGGTATTTAAGTTTATTTAATAAGTTACGCGAAGTAAATTCAAACAGGGTTTATGAACACCCATTAAGTAATCATTTAATTAAATTATTATCAAACCATGTAAATCAATTAAGGTTAAGAATGTGTTTATCAAACAGAGTCTTACAAAGGAATTTATGACAAGATGTCCATAATCTGTTTTATATGTCCAGAATCTGTTTTTATTTAGACATAAAAACATGTAACAAAGGTTTGTAAAGGAATTTATACAAGATGCCCATACTCTGTTTATACAAGTTGTCAAGAATCTGTTTTGCTTTGTACAAAGAGACATGTAACCATAAAGGTCTTCTACCTTTTTAAATGGTTTTGATTGTGATAAAAAAAAAACAAAAAAAATAGTTTTGATCTAATAGTATTTCCTCTTTGTAGATTTATACTCATCTACGCTATTACTGCCTCTCAATTCTTGAAGATTTTTGTTTCAAATTATTAGGATTCGGTCGAACAGTGCTTGCTTTTGCTTTTTTAAGAAGAATAATTGTGAAGTCATAAATGAAAATGACAAAAGTTGTACTCTCTCCGTTCCATAATTATTGTCCAGTTTGGATTTTCGTTTCTAGTTCAAATTATATTAAAAATGAAATTTTAAACTGAAAAATAATTTTGGAACAGAGAAGTAAATACCTTAGGCTCTCAATTCTAGAGGAAACATTAGCAAACAATAGATGAAAATGGCAAAATAGTAAGGACCTTATAATATGCTATCAACCCTTTAAAGGATCGCAGATCTTATAGGGGAAAAAAAAAGTATAAATGCAGAAAATACATCATCTATCCAAAAACATGCACAAATATTTTTCAATTTCAAATAGCTGGAAATGTTTCCCAGTTCCTGAATACACTTACACATAACTTCAACGTCAAAGTGTTTTTTTTTTTCTTTATTCGTTTTTAAATACACTTGAGAAGCAATCGACTGGAAATCATCAACTGTGTCTGGATCCTACCACATCCTTACATAAAAAGTCCACCATCCTTTGGGTGCATTTACCAAAAAATATAAACCGAAGGGATAATTATGACCTAATCTAGCGATTGCATCCACCGCACTATTTGCTTCCCTTGGAGAATGGTTAACAATGACCTAATCTGGTGCAGAAGAAGATGCTTCGGAATAAGCAAAATGAGGAAGGTTTTTCTCCAATTAAGTGAACCCTACTACCACATACCTGAGTAGATCAACACAAAGTGAGACTTCGCTCTTTAAGCTAACTAGATGATTTCGGTAATGCTGACTGTTCAACCAGCACCCAGCCAGCAATCACCCCCTCCTCTTTCTTCTACCCGGCCAAAACAAAGATGGAGAACCACTGAGACGATCATTGTACAGGAAAATGCCAGTCAATCCCTCAAAGTGGCAAGGCAGAGATGCACGACGTTGGTGTTGCTGACTGCAGATTCGACAGCTTCAATCTGCTTTCCAGATCCATTACCACAGCCTTCTGTTGCTTTAATGTTAATAACAACTAGTTTATTATAAAAGCTCCACCATATTTTATGATCATCATTAATAATGTACAATTCCAAGACATCAATGAGATTATGCATTGAAAGAAAAACTTTTTAAAAAATAAAGGATTGACAAGTGAGAGCAAATAAGACTGCAGATGCAATTAAGCCCAAGCAAATTCTGATGTTAGAAACATTTTCTCCAATTATACATCAGAAGTTACAGAGGATATTATAGCCACTATCCAGCTGTTGGAGGTTCCAACTCCAACAAAGATAGGATGCAACAATTCTATTGCATCCTGGAAGATAAATGAAGAGGAGGCTTCAGATATGACATAGAAAAATGTATTCGGCACCTAAAGATTCATTTCAAAGCCAGAAATAGCTGCTTATTATAGACACAAAACATTATCTTACCTTATGATTTTTCAAATGATATGCAAAGACAAGAAGGGACAAGTATACCAAACATTGCCAAACTGAACAAAATTGGAGTTGGACAACAGTAATCTCAATGTACCTGGAAGACACTGGTTATAGCTTGTAACCACCCCGGCATCAGGCAATTCAGCTAATACGTCAAGAAGAGCAGTACTAAAGATAGAAGGATTGAAGGCTCCTATTAGTAATTTTGATCAGGAAAGTGGTCACAGGGATTAATGGCCTGGCCTCCACATGAGGAAAACGACGAAATATCACGCCTCACCTAAAGCCTCATGGGTTAGGCACACTGCTATATGCTGAATCTCCATCGTTCCTCGCTTCCATCAACATAATTAGGGCAGATATATTTGGAGAACGAGGAATTGCTGATGTTCAAATACTCAGAATAGTTTTTCACAAAATAATAAAATTAAAAATAATGAAAGGCTTGAAACAGAATTTAGCTGCTGATTATTCGTTAAATGTTATAAAACAAGAAAGAATTAGAAAAAATTCATGTAGAGCTGGCATCCAAAATTTGCAGAATGAACTATCTAATAAACACCACCAGTCAATAAGTGTATAATCAAGATACTCTTACAACCATCTTGTTCTTTTTCCCGGCTGACAAGAGAATGACTTTGCCATCGATTATGTCATCAGCCTCAATCTTCTTAGCATCATTATCAATCCTATTATTGTTAAGATAGAGACCCCCTTGTTTGAGTAGCCGACGGGCAGCAGACTTACTCTCTAGCAATCCAGTTGAAACTGAAAGATCCAAAAGAGAAAGATCCAGAACCTCATGATACTGTAGAGAACAAGATGGAACATCTTCACCAATCCCCTCAATCATCTTGGCATCCAACTTGGTGGCAGCCCCTGGCCTTAAAGCCTCTGTGGCTAGGAGAGCCTCCTCAAGACCCTCTTGGCCATGGACAAAACGGGTGACCTCTTCTGCCAGCTTGCGCTGAGCAGTATTCGGAATGTAACCGGGTGTCACCATATCCCTTTTTAGCTGAGCAATCTCTTCCATGCTTAAGAAAGTGAGCATTTTGAGGAATCGTACAACATCAGTGTCGGGAACAGTAAAGAAGTATTGGTAGAAGTTATATGGGGTGAGCTTCAAAGGGGAAAGCCAAATGGCACCATCCTCAGACTTACCGAATTTGGTGCCATCGCTTTTCAGAAGTAGAGGGAAAGTGAGGCCATAAACGGCTCCTTCTTCAGCTCTAAGAATTCTACGGATAAGATCAGTTCCTGCAGTGATATTTCCCCATTGATCACTACCACCAATCTGAACAGAGACCCCTTCACTGCGAAAGAGATGGACAAAGTCATAACCTTGAAGCAATTGGTACGTGAACTCGGTAAAGCTCATCCCTTGATCTTTGGATTCAAGCCGTTTCCTTACGCTTTCCTTTGACATCATTACCCCAACCCTAGCAAACTTCCCAACATCCCTCAGGAAATCCAAAAGACTAACATCCTTCCACCAGTCATAATTATTTAAAATAGCAACGCTCGAATTGCCATCATTTCCAGCACCAGCCCTTCCAAGGATGCTCCGAATAGTTCTCGAGATCCCAGCTACATTGTTTTCGAGGGTTTCTATGTCAAGCTCGGGCCTTTCAGTGCTCTTGCCAGAAGGGTCACCAACACGACCGGTAGCTCCACCAATTAGTGCAACAACCTTATGTCCACAGCGAATGAACCAAGTTAAAACAATGATACCCAAGAGATTCCCCAGGTGGAGGCTGTCAGCAGTGGGGTCAAAACCACAGTAAACTCGAAGGGAGGATGTAGATGCCTTGTCTCTGAGAGAATCACTGGTGAGGGCCTCAAGTAGGCCCCTCTCTTCAAGGATGTCCACTACATTCTTTTCAGGATTCAAGCTCGGAGAAAGGTGAGCAGTTGAAGAAGAGAAATGCCTAGTGACGGAGGATAAAGTTGGGCGGCTCACACAAACGCCGAATTTCTTTCTAGGAGCAAATTTAAATGTTGTTGTAACATTGCAAGTAGAATTGGTACCTATTATGGTTTTAAGAAGAGCAGAGTAGCTTCTGAATGCTAAGAGGTTGCTGGAAGACGAAGAACCGAAGTAAGGGTTCAGTCTGAAAAGAAATGTGCGACCAGTACCAGCAGCAGCGGCGGCCATAACTATTCGCAAACAAAAGTATATAAAGAGATTAATTCGGCAAGTCCCAACAGGTAAGAAGGAAGAATACAAGAAAAATTCTAATCATTCCCCAGGAAAAAAGAAAAAAATTGTAACCAATCTTTCTCTCAACAAAAGTATGAGGAAAATACAAGCAATTCGCAGGAAGGAAAATAATAAAAATAAAGTACAACCATTTTAATCCTTCACAGTATCATCAAATAAAAGGAAATTACTTATAATAGCTGAAAAGGAAGAAGTATGCAGCAAAAGCTTCAGAAGTACCAGAAGGGAAAACCTCTTAAAATCAATAACTCAAATTAAACCCTCAAATAGAATATCTTTATTGTTCGTAAACATTCCAATGTAATTGGTTTCTTCAGCAATAGTGGCAACTGCAGCTTACTTTGGATTCAATTCTAACCGGAGCAGAGAAAAAGAAAGAACAGAACTACTTTCAAAACTACTAAACATTACTGAAAAATGATGGTACAAAACAAGAAGGGTAAGGAATGAGGCAACACTTTTTTAACTAAAACTGATAACCCATAAAGATTCAATCTTTACTTTTAATGCTAAAACTAGCAAAGAACCCAGATGAAATTTCAATCAAAATTACGCATTTCCCACACAATTTTATACCAAGAATCAGGAGAGGAGCTACCTTATATTGACGCGAGGCAATTGCCCCAGCCTAAAGTTTCCAACTAGTCCTTTATATACTGAAATTTTCTTGTGGTTCACGGTTGACTATTGAGGAGGAAGAAGATGAAGAAGTCAGAAGTGCACCTTTGTCTAAAGTCTAAACTCGCCTTTAACCTAAGCTTTAACTGATAAAGGATTTCTTTTGGGGCCATCCTTTTGTGAAAAATTTGGGCTAAAGGAAAAGGGCATTATTTTGACAAGAAAGGATAAATGGATCAACAAAGGTACTACATAACAAACACAAGATTTGGGGGGAAAGAAATTAGGGATATTAAAAAAGATTTCTTTGTCAATTTGTTCCACAAGTCTTTGACGACAGAGGATATGAATTTTATACCTTCCGAAATTCTTAAAATATTATTATATAAAATTAAAATTCAAGTCTTTGTACTCTTACATAATTATGATCTACTAGTTCAAAAGTTTACTTCTATTTTTGTATCCGCCTCTTTAATTTTTTACCCTTTGTTTTATATTACTAGTTAGATGGTTAATAAAACTGACAAATTAATAACAGTGCACGTCGTAATTTTCTTTCAAAACAAAAAAGAAAAAAAAGAAGATGCATGGCGATTGGCGTAGGTCTACATATTTATTTATTCGTCATCAGGAATATTTGTTTGCAAAAATACAAGCTCGTTAGTGTAATATTATCTCATAAAATACTTATTTAATCATCAAGTCTGGATTGGTTTTCTTCTGTATTTCTTTCTCTTACTTTAAGCGTGCCAACTAATACATTTATCACAGACTTTGGGCTTTTGTTTTTCGATATTAGAATTTAGATAGATAGACCATTTTTCTTTAAGTGTCTCTTAGCATTTCAGGTTTTTATATTGTAGATTCAGTCCCTAACTTCATTTTTAACCGTCTATTCTTCGTGAAGTTTCGTTGAACTTTTGTTGCCTTAGAACCATGAATTAGAGTAAATAAGTTCCCCACCTGGGATTAGCAAAAGTGGTAATCAGCTTGATGCCACTTAAGCAAGGTTTTGGATTCGAAACTTTGCGGATGTAAAAAACTCTTGTTGGGAGACTCACCCACCACAGCCAGGTGTGGAACCCAAAAGTCTCGGGTTCGAAACCTTATGGATGCAAAAAAGTCTTGTTGGAAGACTCACCTACCACAGCCAGGTGTGCAATTCAAGTCGACCAACGGATTAGTCGGGACAAAGTTCCGAAAACCGTGACGGGCAACCAAAAAAAAAAAGAGTAAATAAGTTCAGATGGAAAAAACTATGGACGGAAGGGCAGTTATTATAGAATTCATACCAAACAACAGTTCATTTTTTCGTGCAAACAAAGAATATTGCACGAAATGTATGCAAGGCCAGAAAAATCCCCTCCGATAAATTTGATTAAAGCTAATAACTGATGCAAGTTACCGCCACACAACGAACAATTCTTGTGGCAGAATTCCGGAACTAGAATTCTTTCTTGCACATTTTCGAAAAGTAAGAAGCAAAAGAAAGTAGCATGCCGCCGCCCCCTCCCTTTGACTGTAAGATGCGCCGGCAGTCAATATACAACAGATCCAATGTCTGCAATCCTGATTTCCTAAGCATCCAAGAAAATCCTCAACTAGGATACTGGCCAACTTAAAAACTTAAAGAGGTGTACTATCAACGATTGCTTCCAGTGCTTTTTTCTCCAATTCAGATTCACTGACCCACAAAGAACTCTGACGGTGCAACAGCTCCTTCTTCTGCTTTTTCTTCTCCTCAAATTTTTGAGTTCTCTTCCTCCAGTATTCAAGTTTCTCAGCCCTTTCTTTTAACTGTAACATTGGTATAATATTCATCAGTCACAAGTTAGCTAAAAACCAACTAAACAAGTTTCGATTGGCAAACTGAAGTGTCAAATAAATTAAATACGGCATTAGTTTATCTAGGTAGCACAGTAAACTAGGACTAACATGATGGAATTATGTTTTGACATACTCTGCAGGTTCCACACAAAGATTAAAAAGGCAGTGCCAGATTCAAGCAGATATGCCTTGACTGGTAGAGGGAAACTACTTTTAAAATCAAGGAGAAGCTCTAAAAACAATCATGGACATCACCTAAACATCACTTGTCGCGTGTCCCCAATTAAAGATAGTATTTCAGACAGAATAAGGTGCGGCGAGCCCAAATTGTAAGAAGGAAGAAAATTAAGAAAAATTTTGCGATGGCGAAAACATAACATTGCACCGACTATACTCACACCAAAATTCAGATTGGGACCTAGAGCCTACAATTCCCCATCCTTAACCCTCCCCCTCAGCTGTAGCCTATTTAAGGATTATATATCGTAACTAAGCAGTCAATCACATACAACAAAACTGAAGAAAACTTAGTAAAAAGTAGCCATAAAGCTCAAGAAGAGAAACACTATCACTATCACACATGGTTGAGCGCAGAAAACTTGTCCTTTTCATATAAAAAGCTTCTCTCAAGAAAATAAATCCTAGTCTAAGAGTCCCTAAGGAACCACACCAGGCACAGAAGAGGGAACCATAAGGTCAAAGATCCAGATGTCACTAGTAATCCATTTTTCCCCTCCATCTGGCCTATTTATTTGCCTTACTTCTAAAAGTAAGTCCTCAAGTTCTTATCTCAGGTAAATAGAATTCGAGTAGGTGTTAGAAGGTGCTTCGAACTAAAGAAGTTGCACACAAAAATTCCTATACAATAGAAGACAAACAAACACGGGAACAGAAATCTAAAGGAAATTAGGCAACTAAAGGCAGAATCCAAGAATCATTTTAAACAAATGCATCATTTCTATCATAAAACAATAATCGGCTCAAACGCCAATTGACGATAAATTCCACAACACATTCTCGTTTCCAACAAAATCAAAAATCAAAATGAATAGCAACGATTGTAATAACATTACTGCAGTGTGCAACTACCGACCAAATGAGTATAGCCAAGAAATGGGGAGAAAAAAAAAATAATTGCAAAAAAAAACTTACAAGGGTTTGTCGGAATTCTTCTGCAGCCACTTCTCTTTCCTTGGCTTTGGCCGCCTTCTCTGCATCTTTAGCCGCTTTCCGCTCTTCATTTGCAATCCTCAGAGCTTCCTTTCTAGCCGAATCCTTCTTTTGCTTCTCGAGCTTCAGGAACTCCACTTCGCGGATGTATTCCTTGCGAACTGCTTTAACCTTCAGCGCATACTCACGGCGGAGACGGGCGAGCTGCGACTGAGCTTCTTTGGGATCCTTCGGAGGTTTCCATGACCCAATGTAATCGCTCGGAGAAAGGAATTCGTGATTGCGGTGGTGATCGATGTGACTAGTGGTGCCGGAGGTGGAAGAGTAACTCCGGCAATGGTTTAGGAACGCCGGTGAACGGCGGAACAGGTGGCGAGTTGCTATAGACATTTTGACTCGTTCACTACCAAGGGTTTTTGAAAACGCCATGGGGTTTTATTTTTGGAAGGGAAAATTTCCATTAAGGGTGTCGGAGAAAAACAAAATTGCCTTTAAGGCCGGAATATTTTACATATTTAATTACATCCTAAAAAAAAAAAAAAAGAAAGAAGAAAATCTCCTTCGTCAATTAATCATCATTGTCGCAGTGGTAATGAAGTTTATGATATAATTGTATCATAATCACCATTTTTCATTGTTTACTTTTATTATTTAAGTTATACTTGTAATAAATAACAATAATTTTCTCAAGTATAATAATAATTTTCAGTGTTTTAGATATAAAGCACTGAAAAGATAAAAAAAAAATGTCATAAACATTTTGGCAAATATTGTTTATTAAACGGCCAGGCCATCATGTGAAATGAGGAATGAGAAGTTCAAACTATAATTGATGTTACTTCTATCTCGAAATAATTGTTATTCTTTTTATTCTATGATAATTTATATAATTATTTTAAGATGAAAAATATATTAATTTACATTGTTTGGAACATTTGATCAGTGTATGTTTTTTCATTGGAAATATAAACTAATTTATTGAAAATATAATATTCTAAATTGTATAAAAAATAATACATTCACAAGTTACAATATAAATTACTCCCTCCGTTCTAAAAAAATAGTCCAGTTTCAAAACGTACAACTCTTTCAATTTCAGTCAACCAACCCATCAAGGTACAACTCCTTTTATACACTAAACTTCCATTTTTGCCCTTGTTTTCTCAAATTCGCCCAAATTTGTAAGACAGGAAATATTTCCTATTCTTCGCCGGAGAACGGTTCCTACGGCCAATATATCAGGCATCAGATTCGGCTTGAATCGAAGGATAAGCTACATCAAAACCGAATAAGCCATTTCCTGCATTTTTCCGGTAAAAGAATTTGGCACGAAATCGGAGTCATAAGGATTAGAGGAATAATGATGATGAAATCAGTTAATGGCTTCAATTTGCTCATGTATGCCAACACAATTGGATAAACTGAAGAATAACGTGTCATTTACTTAAATATGTCCAGGAAAGAAGTAGTGGACTGAAATAAGCACAAATTTGGGGGTGGTCAGAGAAAATATGTGCCGGAAAAGGAATTTCCGTTTTTCTATGAACTGTTCATAAAACGGATTTGCGAAATCCGTCCCTTTAGGATTAGGATTTGATAATTACTTTGATTAATAAAAACGGATTAAACATTTCCGTTTTTGTTTTTGTAAATTTTGATTTAAGGAAATGGGAAAAAAATTTGTGAAGTAAATATTTTTCGGAAATAAAAAACGGAAAATCAAAATCCGTTTTTGGTTAAAATTAATAGAAAATTAAAAACGGACGTCTGATTTCCGTTTTTAAGACAGTAGACATAAAAAAAACAGAACTGGCATGCTTTGCCAATCATGTTAAAAAGACAGAAACAGAATATAAACCAGAAGGCAAACAACACCAAGACAGCAACAACAACATAAACCCCAAACTCACACATCAATTGAACAAAATATTGTCATTGTAACAAATTTTAATAAAAAACTACATCAACAAAAGTTCCAACATTCATCAATAGAGGTAAACATCAAAATGAAGGAATTATTCCTCCTCTAGGGGTGGCTTGGCTTGGGCCGTAGATGGCGTGTAGCGGTCGACTTTCTTTATCTTTCTGCGCACCCTTCCTAAAGCCAAAGGTAGAGTAGGTTGCTTCAATGGCAGTGTAACATCAACATCCATACTTGTAGGTTCACCTCCTTGGTTGGCTTCGGCTTTATTTTGGGGGTTGGAGTTTGAAACAAATCGGCATTGAGTTCAAAACCATAATCTTCTTCTTCTTCTTCTTCTTCTTCTTCTTCTTCTTCTTCCACGATTTTCTTCCTGTCTCCTCCAATCCCACGGTGAGGAATGTTTCGCTTGCGAACTTTGCCAACCTGTTGAGAAGGTTATGATGGAATATCAACAAGTGATTGGGTGGGCTTCAAAATTGGCAACTCATGTACTCCAAGGGATAAAGCACTCATAGCATGAGCAGCGAGTTCAAGAAGGAGTTCCATACAAACTGAATTTTGGCACCTCTTTTGATTTCTGGTCGTCTTCTATCTTTGTGCAGACATCGCTCAAAGCATCAGCCTAGAATCAATTTAACCATTAAAAAACAAAAAAACAGAAAGCATGAAACTAAGGGAGCAACTAGCATGCTGCATTTAGTAACCAGAATGCAGTTCAAAAAAACAGAACCTAATGCAAGCATGAAAATTCAGAATATAAACTAAAAAACAGAATATAAACTAAAAAACAGAACCAGAAGGCTAAAAAGTATGAAAATTCAGAATATAAACCAAAAATAAAAAAACCTTGCACAAAACCCTAAAAGAAGAATACTTACATAGAATTTTGCGAGATCCGAATTCTCACAATATCCTTTCTCCTGAAAGTTGTACTTGTTGGGATTCTTGATAAATCTGATGGTATTGGTGTCATACCACGGGAGATAATCTTCATCGGTTGAGGATTGACCACTAACCAGAGATCCGGCTACAATAGTGTCCGCCCTTTTGTCCCATTTGGCGATGTATTCACGATGATGATGCTCCCAGTTAGCCCCAGGCATTCCAGTCCTACCATGCCGGTGCAACTTTTCCCATACTTCGAAACCAGCAATCATTGGTTGTGGTGGGATCGATTGTTTCAAGCCAAATTGTCGCATCACACGGTCAATTTGATGCGGTTCAACGATCTCCCAGCAAATTAACCAAGTGTTTGATCGCCAATGATCCCGACCCAGTGTACATCTTTCAGGTATCTCCACTCCTTCATAAGGTTGCCAAATAAACTGAAATACAAAACAGAACATAATAAATTAAAAAAAAAAGCCAAACAGAACAGAATACAAAAGGAATCAAAATCAATATTTGTTAACAAAAGCTTTCAGCAAAAAAAAAAAAGCAAAAAGTCCAGATTATATAAGTAAAAAAACATAACCAGAATGTATTAAATAGAATCTAAAAAATCAGGGTTTACAACTAGTTTAGAACCTAAAAACAGAACCTAAACAAAACTTAAACAGAACCTAAAGAATCATGGTATACAACTAGTTTATTTAGAACCTAAACGAAACCTAAACAAAACCTAAATAGAACCTAAACCTAAACAATACATAAGCTTTCAGCAATAAATAAGAAAAAAATCCAGCTTATATAATAAAATTAAAAAGGACAGAATATTCTATAAAATTATTAAAAATTAATGAAATGTAGACATAGAAATAAATAAATAAAAAAAAATCCAGCTTACATCTTAAGCCTTCCTAAGGCTCGCGAGTTGATTTCGTTGTTCTAGGAGATAGTGGGAGGCCACCTGCGAAAAATCCAATGAACACCTCCACTTTGAACCTAAGGCCAATTTGTTATCGTTGTCTTCTGGGTTTTTCCTCCTGGGCGTATCCTTGGGATTCGCTCATATGCCCAAATCTGTAAATGTAACACATGTTAGGTTTAAAGGAACACAAATTATAAATAAAAGGAAAATATGAAATAAATACAATTCAAAATCGAGTTATACCTGCAAAAGAATTAGGCATCCAACTATATTTCATTTTGTCCTTTTTGATGCTTTACAATGATTATTATACAACACCGCAAGACATGCACTCCCCCAACTTAGCGTTCTACAAGACTTAAAATCCTTCAGTAAGGGCAAATAAAGCAAAGGCACAGTGTTGTCCGTTGAGTCCGGAAATAGTGAACCTCCAATTCCCACAAAACAAAAACCTGAGCCCTTCTCTGGCAAGCATCATTTGAGGCATCTGCTGGAAGTTGTCGCTTACACTCATCTTGCAGCAAAGAGATTATAAGTTGGTTGGCCCCTTTTTTTCTATTTGGGTGTGAAGCCCAAAAACTCCTTGCACATTGGGACCCAACTAGCTGGTGGCGAATCTTGGTTAGTTACAGGTTTTCCATCAATTCTCAGTCCCAAAAGAACTTCGACATCTTGGAGCGTAATTGTTACTTCCCCCATTAGGAAGTGAAATGTATGAGTTTTGGGCTGCCATCTTTCAACCAAGGCTGTCACAAGGGAGTTGTCTAATTGGATGAGACTCTTCTCGAGGAAGTATCCAAAACCCATTTGAGACACGTAACATTTAACTGCGTCATTGTTTATTGCGTACAGCTCCTAAAGTAGATTATCAGTTCGGCGACACTTATGGTGTTCAGTCATGAATTTCAGCTCACTGTTCCAAACGGCATCAGATCGATGATCACCCTAAAGGTAAAGAAGCTTGGGCTCGATCGGACCCTTATTTATGAATTTTTCAGCTTGCGACAAAGAGGAACTAGCCATATTTCTGTTATAAAACAAAAACCAAAGAACCAGAATATTTTTAGAAAAAACAGAACCAGAATGCACATAACCAAAATGCATTGTAAAAAAAGGAACCAGAATGCAGTTAAAAAAAAAACCAGAATGCATCACATAACCAGAATGCAGTTCAATCAGAATGCATTTCTCAGCATAAACAACCTAAACAACACCAAATTTACAGCCTTGGTTACAGAACCCTAAACAGAATTAGTGGATTAACATTAAAATCAAATTGCCAGATACACATGTTGAGAATGGAAACAGGGAAACAGTGAAGGCAATTCAGAGCTAAGGCATATTATCAAAAGGGAATAACCCTAAAACAGAAGCAGATTTATCAAAAGGAAACAGAATGAAACTTCTGTGAAGTATTATTTAGCAATAATGCAGTTCAATCGGAATGAATTTCTCAGCATAAACAGCCTAAACAGCACCAAATTTACAGCCTAAACAGAACCCTAAACATTGGTGGATTAACATTAAAATCAAATTGCCAGATACACATGTTGAGAATGGAAACACGGAAACAATGAAGGCAATTCAGAGCTAAGGCATATGATCAAAAGGGAATAACCCTAAAACAGAACCAGATTTATCAAAAGGAAACAGAATAAAACTTCTGTGAAGCATTATTTAGCAATAATCTTAATACAATCATAATCTTAATATTATTTGGAATGAA